TTTTAGACTAAAAAATAAATAAAATTCATACATATATAATATATTACATAATTTTAAAATTAAATATAAATAATTATTATATTTATGTTATATATTTAAATATAAATAATTACTAATTTTAAATTTAAATATAAACATCTTCAATTTTTTATTTTAATTTATATTTAATAAAAATTTAGTTTATATACAAATATATATATTTGATATAAATAATTGCTTTATGTTATATATTTAAGCATAATTTACATATATGAATTATATATAAATTTTATATTATAAAACTATATTTATAAAGTCATACAATATTATTTTTTAAGATTTTTATTTTTCTATCATTTAATTTTGCATTTAGAAAATGTTTTAGAACTTTAAAAATGATAAATAATTATTTTTATTTGAATAATTATAAAAATATAATTAATAATAAATTTAAGAAGTTTAAAATTTATTATGATAATTTTTTATTTGAATATTCAACAAAAAAATTTTCCAACAAGTTCTCTTTCAAAAAAGTCTCATGCACACATTGTTGAATGTTGAAACAAAAAACTACTAGTTATTAAGTCTCACATCACTTATGAGTTTTATGTTGTGTTGTTTATATACTTTCTTTGTACATATGGGTTAAGAGCTTTCATGGTATTATAGCATCATGTCAGCTAGATTATTTATATTTAATTTAATATATAATATAATAAAACATATTATTAAATAAAATATATGATATTTAAATTAATTTAATATTTAATTAGACATTTTTTATAAAAATAAAATATTTAAATATATTATTAGTTAAACCGTCCGGTTCTTAAGAAACGGACCAGTTCAACGTCAGCCGGTTCAATTGACAGTTCAAACCAGTTTTGACTAGTTCGTTGCTAGCCCGGTTCTTAGGGAGGACCGAACCGGCCGTAAGACCGGTTCACGGTTGAACCGGTCGAACTGGCCGGTCCGGTTCGATTTTCAAAACAATAATTTCTACTCTAAATTTTAGAAAATATACCTTGAATTGAACTAAGTGGTCGTTTGATATAGAGGAAGAAATTCAAAGTAAAAAAGAAATGCAATATAACAAATATTAAAATGAATTTTCAGATTGAGTTTAGCTCTAACTTAAAATTGATTTTATTTGAATATGGCTAATCAAAATTCGACCCGATTTTACAAATAGTTCTAAAATTTTGACATGAACCTGATGTGATTCGACTCTCTAACCATTTAATATTTAAAAAGAACTTAATTTTAATGTGCCTTAGATGAAATACTGAGCGTAGTTGTTAATGAACCTCAAGGCCAAAGTTCTAGAGTCGAAGCAACTGCGAGGGTTGAGGATGAGTTACGAGCTGTAAGCTAGAACGGTGGAGGAAGTGTAAGGAGTCAAGGAAGAGAAGTTTTTCGAGCCGCAACTCGCAAGCCTTTGATTTTAGGGATTTCTACTTAGTGATGTAGGGAGAAACATGAAGAAGCAAGATGAAGAAGAGCTAAACAGCTCTAGGAGACCAAAAACAATGAAAAACTATTATAATTTCAAAAATATTCATTCATATTACTTCCCTCTCATAACTCCTATACTTATAAGCTAGCAAAGAAACCTAGAGAAATCAATAACATATTACTTCCCTCTCATAACTCCTATACCTCTAACAAACCAATTAACATATGTCTAAGGAACATTTTTACTAAGATGTTCCACATCATTCTCCTTCGGTAAGAAGAAAGACGAACTAGGGGGTGAAGTTTGTATGAACAAGATTTGGTCGCGGGCCTAGAACGGAACTGAGACGGTGCCATTATATCGCACTTGAACAATTAGCCGAAGACTTTGCTCTGCAGACAAAGTAACGTCATAGCCGATCACTTGTGCCTGGTAGAATCTGGGAAGACCCCTATTTCCGTTAAAAGTTGCGACATCAGTATCGAATGAGAGGGAAATGTAGCCAGTGACTAAGAAGAAATCTTTCTTGAGCAACAGCTGATTTGCACTCAACAACAACACCTCAGAAGTCAATGACATAGCGTCCAAATCCACCTTCTCCCAGCTTATTTTCTTTAGAGAAATTATTTGTTGCTTTCTTAATTGTATATATCCATATCAAAAATTAAAGAGTCGGTACTTCTCATGTTCTCCTTCGACACAAGGTGGCATGTTGGCAGTCTTTTCAGAACTCTCTTCTTTCTTAATTGTAATAGGAAGAAAATACATAACACTACCAAAGGAAAAGTGATCTGAAGGGTAATGATAACAATCATTTTTATATTATTATTATTATTCATGGTGCCTTTGTTGTTGCCTTCAACAGCAGCTGGTTAAGGCTGGAAAGCCCCTTCTGCTGTAAATGGCAGCGTTTACAATTATTGCAAAGGAGGTGGCGATGGAGGAAGTACCGACAAAAATGAAAAGGTATGAACCCGCGTAATGCAGCTTACTGTCATAACTTTGCAAGCAACCCCGTCAACCTGAAGCCTCCCCGCCACACCCATCGAGGCATGGCTGACAAACACTGTTTGATTGGTCTTCGGAGCACCATGCCATTCCAGAGATACTTCTAAGATTAGAGTAGTTAGTTTACCTTGCTCCAAATGATGTAACAATATTGGCTTGTAAGTAGGAACAAGACCAAAGCTATGGTGAGCCTTCACATGGATATAACCACATGTGATAAGCTATATAAGCACATTAGTTGCTTTTAATCTTGGCACTATGGGCATAAGAATCTCCTCCACCTCAAGTATTCGGAAGTTGTTCATCTTACTGCATTTGCTCTAATTAAAGACTCCAATGTCTCCATCCTTCTACCAGAGGAAGAAGCACTTGATGAGTTTAGTGGTGGAGAGATCTCATTCCTACACAATTTAGAGTATTCTATAGACCCTGTGATTAGATTCGTCTTTCTTCGTTCATACTCAAAAACCATAAAGCTATCATCAGTAGAAACTCCTCTAGTGCAAGTATTCTTCCGCCCCACATAAGTTCTTCTCCATTCGCCATTAGTTTGGGTTGAAACATCAGCTACACTAGGTAATATTAGAAAAATAAACAAATTCACATGTAGTACACAGTGTGCATTACTGGAAAGATAACTTACCATTAACAATGGAACAAAGCCACTCATGCATCTTAAGGATCCATCCTCAACATACTTCGAAGCCATTCTATCAAACTAACAAACCAAGAAATCTTGTATTGACATAGCCCAATTATAACTATTAAACTCATCTATATTCTAGGAAATGGTAAGGAGTCTCTTAGGGGTTCTGTAATTTTTGTTTGGAAAAAATAAATTGGACAACCAAAACTTAATATACATGTTAACAATAACTTTAGTGGATGTTGATTTGTTATTATTCTTCATTTCATTTTTTTATTTGAATCTCAATGTAGCTTGTTAATGGTTATACTTCCTAGTAGATCAAATCACCTGTGTTTGACAATTCTGTTAGTAGAGCAACCTCATATGTTGAAAATTTAAGCTCGTTCCATTTGATGTCGAATGATTGCTAGCTCACATCCCAGCATGTAGATCAGTGGCGTGTTCTGTTGAAATCGTGGGAACTCAGTAAATTGTAATATATTCAACTATTTCAAAGTGTCCTTAACTTCATAAGTTAAAAATTATTTTATGCTTTCACAAACATTTCTGAATGTTGATGCTCTACAACGGAATCTAGCCTTTGGGATGCACATCTGCAAATAAGAAAATATTTATAGCATTGAGGAAAAATAGAACACCTGTACATAATATCTTGTACATATAGAGAACTTGTAAACAGTGTTCAAAGCATTGTACATACTGTGTAAGAGGGTTTGTTTGCAATGTAAAAAAATAAAAGATTTTATATCATCAAGTAAAACCTGTACCTAGTGTACAATGTCTTGTATAAAGTGTGTACAAGTTGTACAGACTGTGTACAATATAGAAAATAAGACTTTAGAAACATTTTTGCAAGTAGACAATGTGTTCAAATTATATAAAAGAATTACATAATTTATATACAACATGTAGAAAAAGAGAAAATTTATATATATAAGATTAATAATATACATATACAAAATGAATAAAAACTAGTAAAAAAAGAACAAATGAATCATGTATAACAACAACAACAACAACATCAAGCCTTTATCCCACTACGTGGGGTCGGCTACATGAATCTTTTTTCTCCATTGTGTTCTATAACATTGCATATAAATTGACAAGATATTTTTTATATTCACTTGCACATTATTATTTTGCAAGAGAACATAATATGACATAATCCAATTCAACTCTAAATAATATCATTTTTTCTTGTCAATTCTTATGTTGTTCCCTATCGACATTTTCATGCTTAACAAGCTCTTCTATATACTTTAAAAAAAAAAAGTATTGTGCATACTGTGTACATGTGTCTATTTGTTATTTGTAATGTTAAAGCTGTCTTCAATTCTATTATATGTTCCTAAACTATTTAGAAATAAACTCCATGTCGAGAACTTCGCAAAAAATACTTTCACAATAATGAGTTTGTCCTAAACAATGAGGAGGATGGATTGAGCTTATCTTCTTGAATAAAACGAACGTGGATGAATTTAATTACTTTCACAATAGTGAGTTTGCCCTAAACGCGCTGTTAGTCCACGTGGAAGATTTTTTTTTTTTTTTTGGGAAATTACGTGGATAAATTTAACTTACATGTTTGATTGAAGTCGGGACGTGGAGCTAGGTCCGGACTCCCCACCGAATAATTTCCCGTTGTCACGACAGATCGCCGTTTTTTTGTTGGATCCGAAGTAACGAGGACGACGGGAAGGAACTTCGTTGCGAAGGTAACCATTCTCTCCCTTTCGCGCGCTTCTTCGGACAAATCCCATAAAACCGTAGAACTCCAGGATTAGTAAATCCGGTATTTACCGCAAAAAGATCGCAACGGCGGATTTATTCCGCCGTGAGATTTATGCCGAGTCAAAGCATTCACGCTAAATCCTGCTCAAACCTGCGTAAATCCTGTTGCCAAACAGCTCCTTAAAGCTAAAAACTTGAAAGTTCAGCTGCAAAGCTGGACCAACAGAGCCATGGATTGGCCCATTTCCACATTCGTGCCTCTCACACAGTCGGTGGCAGTCTGAGCTCCCCGCCTCTCCCATCTTTTTACGTGGGTTAAGAAGAAGCAGTAGAACAATACTTCTCTATCCTCTTGGTCCAAACTTGTTGTGTTCGGGAAGTAGGTGTCATCTCAGGCTTCTTTTCATGAATAATTTTCTTGTTTGCATCATTATAGAGGGTTTGCCTTTGCCTTGTTTTTCCGCTGCTGGAGGGCATATGATTTTTTTTTTTTTTTTTTTGCGGTTTATTTAAAATTTATGTAAATTATAAACGTTTTTTCTGTCGCTGCTTTCAGAACAGATTGAGGGCATTCGGATAAAGTTAAATGTCTGATTAAAAAAAAAAAAACTTGCCTTTGATTATTTTTTTCTTGACCTGATGGTGCTAACTCGCGATCTGCATAGATTTAAAATGGTAGAAATATTCGGTTTCACTTTAATGTTGCCTTTATGGCTGAAATTTCAGATGGGCTTACTGAGTTTCTTTATGTAACCATACTTTTATTTCAATTTAGTCATAGTTGTGCTCTAATGCTTTAGTCCATGTGTAAAATGCAAAGCGTAGACATTTTCCTATTTGAATTAGGTTCTTTTCAGTTTTCAATAAAAATTTTCTGTTGGCTAATGGTTCATGTATTACGATTTGTAAGCTTGAGCAATCCTTTCTTCCTAATTTTGATATTGAAATATTTGCTTAGATTGTTGAAAATGTGAGCTTGACTCTCACTATTAATGCTGATTCTTCTAAAGTGGATGCTAATGTTTCGGTGGACTTCTTTCTTATCAAATATTTGGAGAAGAATATAACATATTACACAATTAGCATAGCAGATTCTTACTATAAGAACTTTGGATCTCGAAGTCTTTCACAATAAAATGGATAAATGACCTTCTGATTTTTTTCTTGTAAATTTTGTTGTTTAAGTGATTTGAAACTGATAATATTGATATGCAGCTTGCAGAAAATATTTTCCTTCAAATCAAAGATGAGTTCTACACCTGTGCCAAGAAGAGAGAGCCCTTGGGGTTTGCCCGACGGGGATACACGACAACCTCGAGCACATAGATGTAATGATCGTGCTGAGGATATTGTCCAGGTGCTGCTTACCAGTTCTAGCTTGTGCCCCTATTTTTCAAATTTATATTGTTTTGATGTTGCAACAGCATAATGATACTGGCGATTTAAATAAGGCTGGTCGTGCATTCATTATTGATTATCCTTTTAATTCAGCTTTGATATTTTTATTCTGCCCCATTTCTCATGCGTACATCATTCGCCTTGCCTACAAAATTTGTCAGTTAAATGTGATATCTTGTGCTTTAAATTTCATAGTATGTATGGTTTAGGTTGGTGTCATAACCGATAGAAATTTCCCTGACTGAATTCTTTGTTGATGACGTTGAGTTGTATGCTCATTTCATTCCCCTTTGCCACCCCTATACAATAGTATCAGTAACGATGATTTTCATGAGGGGGATGGTGAGACTACATGAGATACTAGAATCAATTGTATCAGATCAATACAAGATCTTTCTGAGCTAGTTTTGGATGAAATTGTTTAAGAAACGAGAGGCCATTTTGGAAAGGAGCACTCCTTATTATCCTCAGATCGATGGACAGACAGACAGAGGTGGTCAATCATAGTGTGGAAACTTATCTTTTGTGCTTTGTATTGGATACACCAAAGTTGTAGGAAAAATGGTTGGCATGGGCAAAGCATTGATATAACACTTCCTATAATTTGACAGCTCAGACAACACCGTTTAAAGTGTTATAAGGAAGATCCGCCTCACTTGATCTATTATGGATAAGGCAACACACCGGTGGCATCAATACAATAGTACGACAAGGACAGAGACAATATCTTGGTGGAGTTGAAGGGTCATTTGTTGAGATCTTAAGAAATTATGAAGAAGCAAGCGGATGCACAAAGGAAAGACATTCAATTTGAGGTGGGGGACATGGTTTACTTGAAGCTTCGACCCTACAAATAACGAAACATGGCACAGAGAAGGAATGATAAGTTATCACCCCATTATTTTGGTTCTTACAATATAGTGGAGTGCATCGGTGCCGTGACATATCACCTACAGTTACCACTGTAATCAACCATCCACACGGTGTTTCATGTCTCCCAATTGCGACGTGTGATAGGAGAGCGCATTCCGTTTTCTTCACTTCCCTTGACAATGATGGACGACATGGAGGTTTTGTTTGAACCATTGGAGGTCGAAGGAGAGTGTCAAAGAGTAATAGGAAGCAAAGAAGTTTTGATCAGGTGGAAGAACCTATTGGAGTACGAGGCCATATAGGAGTACTACCAGATTATTCAGCAGCACTTCCCTTCATTTCATCTTGAGGACAAGGTGGCACTTTTTTTTTGGGGGGGGGGGGAAGTATTGATGGATTGGCTGAGAATAGGGCTGGCTCAGCCTTGCAGGCGGGCTGCCTAAAACAAAGGCAGGAAGGCCAAGTGGTCAAGGATGTGGGCCCAGGTGAAGGGGGTGGCTGCCAGGTTGGAAAGGGGGTTGGAAAGGGAAGATGATTGAAGGAGTGGATCACTTATCAAAGGAGAATGTGGGGGAAAACATAAAGGAGTAAATTCAAGTTTTGGGGGGAAAATAGAGAGAGTTATATTAGGCCTTTTAGTTGTATTTTTATTTTTCTTTATGCAGATTGTTTTAGTGTTCTTGCTGTCCATTATTTTTGTAAGTGATTTTAGTAGCATCTAGAGTTTGGGAGAGAAGCTCCTCCTCTCAAAAGAGAACCATTATATGTTGTTTATTTATGTTTCCTTTCTTATCAAGAAAATCGGTTGGTTTGCTGAATTTTTCTATTTGTTCGCTAATTTTGATGCTCAAGTTCTAAAATATAACTTATTTACATTTCTGGATTGCATGTTTATCATGAATCAGTCATCTGTTCAATCATATTATATTAGCTTAAAATAAAGTACGACTAGAATGCTAGTTATTTCTTTTTCAGAAGAACTGCAATTAGTTCTTGGGGGCAGTTAAGTATGCCATCTGGACAAACATTAGCATTCACTTTCTATTCGAATGTATCCTATCTGCTTCCTTCTGTCCATTTTTTTGGCTATCCACTCATATATTTCTTATATTTTCTCCAGCCTAGGGGCTTAAATATTAATTAGATCAAGCCAATTTATTATGTTAACAAGTTAGCCTTTTGTATTTTTTTTTAATTTGTTTTGCTTTCTTGCAGGCTTGTTTTGAAGGAAACCCTTTTAAAACTGTTCCTGGTCCTTTCAAGCTCTTTTGGCGATGCATGCGGTCAAAACCTGGGTATATTTTCCCTCCCTAACTCAGGCACGAGTAATTGAAATAGTGAACTTAAAATTTTATTTGTTATTTTATCGACTTATACCTTGACACTGGATTGGTTTTACAAACATTTTCTCTGCAAACCTCAATCTTTCAGAACTTGCAGAATCTGGTGACTAAACCTGGATCATTAGTTTCATCAACTGCCTATACATGTAGTCAGTTGTCAATTTTGTTTAGAATTTTCCATTAATTATGGTAAAAATATCCCATTTTCTAATAAATTAACTTCTATTCCTGTATTTTATTTTTACAATTTTGGTTAGCAATGGAAGCAATCTACCTTAGATTGCTAACCCCTTACCCAAAGTTTTGAGAAGTTTGCTTATGAAAATCTGGAAAAAAAAATCTACAATGCCGAAACATATGACCGTTTTCCTATTTTCCAGTTGTAGAGAATGGTTCCTACCCCACCCCCTTCATTTATATATGCCCATTGGGAGTTTTAGTTGAGTTAGATAATAGAACTCGGCGGTCATACTAGTCACTTTTTAGTTCTAGCATTGGCACCAGCTTGCAACTGATGTGATATGGGCCTCCTTTCTCAGCAAAATTCTTATATCATGCCTCTATACAAACCTGAATACACAAAAACACACTCAAGATCTGTTCTCCACGGAGTTCTTAATTATTAGTTATGAATTTTATGCTTTTATGACTTGGTTAGAAAATATTAGAAATGATCTGTTTTTATTAGATTTAAACGAGAGTTTGACTTTTAACAGGACACAATGGAGAAAAAGGATTCATGTAGCCGACCCCACGTAGTGGGACAAAGGCATGTTGTTGTTGTTGTATACGGCAAGATGAAAAACAAAATTTGCAAACCCAAGTTAACACATTGGTTCCATGGATTCAGAAGATGCAAATTTTTTTCATCTCGTTTTTGTACTGTTAAGCTTCATTTGGATATTTCTTTGTGAAAGGCTTGGATCTCAAGTGCTGTTTCTTGCTTGGATTGTTTGCTGTGCTTGATTAAGTATTACTCTCTTAGCTAATTGTTCTATGCCATATACTGCATACTGTTTCACCAATATAATTAGGGGTGTAAATAGGAGGCTCACTTATTGTTTGGCTTAGATCATTAAGCAAACGGTCAAATTCTTTTATTTGTGCTTGGCTTCAGTTGTTCATGAACATGAAGTATACCAAGGTATGCGCATAATCTACATATTGCCACATGTATGTTCATATATTTATATAAATATAAATGTATAAATAGGAATATACGCAATTTATATATATGTTTGCACTGTAAGTTTAGCTTATAAATATAATGTAGATTAGTCAATATCTTGTTGAACACAATCGAATAAGTTATTGTTTATGTTTGATTCATTAAATATACAAGCTTGTAAAGAATAGTCCAGTCCGAGCAAATTATTATTAGGCCGGTTCCTCCTGAACCGGCCCCAACTCTTGGATCGGCCCACCCATGGCCGGTTTATGTCTATAGGAGGCGGGCTAATACCGCCTCCTCCCCTCCTTGCCTCCCACAATAGTGGGTCCCACTATTCAAATTGAATCTAAATGGGGAAAGGAGGGGGCGGCTAGGGCTTTGGAGGGAGTTTTGATTTAGAAAGTTGAGTTATTTGTTTCTCTTGAAGTTTCTTTGGCATCTTGGGCTCTAGACTCCTTGTCTAGAGATTGGGAGAGAATGATCCTCCTCTCGAATTGAGGATCACTTGTATCTTGCTTTGTGTTTGTTTGGCTTTGATTCCCTTATTACAATCCATCATTTTGGGACTGATTTCGCCCATATTTTTACATTATTCTCGCTGGTTTGCTTGCGAACTCAAATATTTCTCTTAAGTTTACTTGCGAACTCGAGTATTTCCTATCAATTATCAAGTCATAAATTTTTTTTTAGCCTTAAATATAATTTGGTTATTTGCAGGGAGGAGCCAATTGAGCCTTTTTACTATTTGCAGCTGGATCCACCAAAGAGGGAAGAAGTCAAGCTAGAGTAACCTCAGGAAATCTGTAGGACTCTAGTTCTGCGCCTGCTCCAACAGCTTTTCAGCTGCTAGTCGTTTCTGTCATACTTGAAAAATGATGACAGTCATTTACTGAAACAATCGAAAAATCAACAAAAATCAGTTTTTTGTGGAAGTTTTCTGATTGCTTTCATCATTTTGACTGGTTTAAACTATAGGGGAGCCCCTAGTAATTTATCCATGCTTGTTTTTAAGCTTTAATAGCCAACGTATGGAAGTCATTTGTTACATATACATGTATAATTTTAGCTATTTATCTGTAAAATGTTGTTTTTTCTTTGAAGTTTTGTTTAGAAAATTGCACTTTTGTGTGCAAAGAGGCTAAAATCACTACAAAATTATAATAAATCAAAGGTAGATCAATCTGTTGTAGTGCAGCTGTTGGCTGTATTCATTCACCAGCACTGGATACCATTACCAGTTTTATAATTTACATACATACCACAATGTATTTATATTTCTAATAATTTAAAATTTAATATTTCTTTGCATAAAATTTTAATATTTCAATGAAAATTTATATATTTTAAAGAAAGAATAATAGTAGTAATATTTTTATGTTATTGTAAAATTTTGGTGTTTTGTAAATAAATATTAAAAATTGAGTGTTAAATATATAAATGCTTAAAATTTTGAAAT